CGAATATGACTGAAAAATTTAATTTTTTTTCTGAAAAGGTGGTGTCTATTTACTTGTGACCACGCTGTGTATAGTCTTCAGAAAGCTGTCCAATAGTACATTTTGCGGCGATAAATAAAATACGTCTAATATTAATGTCCTATGATGAGTATAATTAAATCCTTCCTTGTTGTCAAACGTTATCGCTTGTTAACCATTAGGACCGTTAGTATCAAACGACGTACGAACAAATATAATTTGAACTTTTATTTTACAGCTATTAAAATGCAATAAGACTGTTTCTAAAAAAAAAAATGTGTCGATATTTTCTTTACTATTTAGTTTCGTACATCACGAAAAATCACAAAGTAGATTGGAAAATTCCTACTTTTGTTTAAAAGAGCTTTTTATCAAGAAAAACCTTCGCCTATCAATAATGAACGACCAGAAAAAAAAAGCAGAAGACCAGAATAAAACAAGATATTTGCATCCATATCTTCTATGGCTTGAAAACGTACGTTAATATTATCGCTTCTGAAAAATGATAATCACAACACAGATTCAATAAGTTTCAAATTTAATTAAAATACTTGTAGAACAAAGTTCTGACATTTCCCACTAGGTGTCTTGAAACCTACCATTAGTGCTACTAATACCGAAGGCTCAAAGACAGATCACTTAGTGACAGAAGTCTCCAAAATGGACGTAAATTTACTTGCTAAAGCTTGTAATGGTCAGAAAGTTCTCGTTTTATATAAAAATAACAGAAAATGTAGACACATCAATTTAAGTTTTGTAGAGCTTTATTGAAATAGGTTGATACAAAAACCTTTAGTAGATGTGAGCACAGAGGTACCAGATGTAGTAACGGGGGTTACATGAGATTTGTCAAAGGCTGCAATAGTAGAATTTCTTGGGTTTTTGAATTAAAATCGTTTACTCTGCTCAGCAAATTTTATTATAGTTTTACTTTATGTTCTATAGTTCCTTCAGTGCAATCAGTTTTCTCTGTGAGAGAATATCATTTTGTTTATAGTTTCTATAGCTGCCTAATATGTTTCGTACTTCACATTTTAAAATATATTATTTTGTGGGATATTGGGCTTGGTGTGTTTGATTTGTTTATTGGAAAGCTGCACAAACAGTTATCTGTGCTTGCCCACCACAGGTATTGAATCCCGAATTTTAAAGTTATAAGCCCTCGTGCTTACTGCTGAACCACCGAGGGGGGAGCACCAGTGGACATAGAAACAGAGTACAGAATCCAAATCAAAGCAACGGAAATATTAATTTGTTTGGAGCAGGATAGGTCCCAAAAATGACCATAAGACAAAGCCAATAAAAAGTTTGTGACGAAAATTATAGGGCCTTCCTGAAAACTGCACAGAGAAAATTTCGCTGAGATCTATCATATCGGCATACAATCCTTCCAATGAAACAATTTCACGAATTTTAGGTAGGATTACATCATAGCTACTGTTAATACTATCTACAAAAATACTTCATTCGCGTTTGTTTGTTTTTAGCGTAAATCCACATTTGGCTATCTGGTCTAACTACTGCGTGGAATCAAATCCCTGATTTTAACCTTATGAGCCAATAAACTTATCACTGAGGGATGGTTTAGTCAAGTACAATAAATGTTATTATTATTTTTAGTATGGAATTCATTTCACTTTTTCCGACAGTTTCTGTTAATGAAAGTATTAATCTAATATCTAATCACAGTACTCTGAAGAAGGAGGTGTAATTGGAATGTCAGAATTTAATTTGAACATATGTTAAATTCTGCTCTAACAATTTTTTTTTTCAGTTCAATGATAACGTTTAACAATACGTCAAAGAAATGGTAATTGGAAAGAGAAAGGCTGCTGTTATTACAATATTTCTCATGCTCCACATTGAAAGTAAAATCATCTTTACTAGTCATGAAGAAAAAAACAAATTTATATGTTTCCTTAGTTTTTTAGATAGATATACTGATGAAGGCTTTGGCATAAGGCGCCATAACCTTGACAACCTAAACAAACTCCACACCTTTCTAAATATCAGTAATCATAATATTCGGTTTCACTTTAGATAACTCAAGATTCACCAAGATAACATATTAATGACAATTAAACTTGATGGTAAAATATATAGCATAAGCGCACCACAAATAATGCCTAGCTTTCAATGTTTTTAATTTCACTCCATCTCCCAAATGATGTAAAATCAAACCATATTTTTACTAGATTTCTTTACTGTACACATTTCTAGGCGTTTCGTCTTTGTTGTGTTTTATTCTCATTTTTAATATGGGGTATGTTTTTATCACATCACACAAACTAATTACTTTCAAGCAGTTGCCGTTTTGTTTGGTTCCTGAAATAAAAAACAACAACAACAAAAAATATATTTAAAAAAATACGAGGCGCAAATAAGAAGTGTCTTTGAGTCTCAATATTCTCATTACAACTGTTTATGGTCATAAAAGGTATCTATTCAATATTTATTTTGTTGTTATTTATAGTTATTGTTTTGCTTTTACTGTATGAATTTGCTAAATATGGAATGTTTGTATTCCAAAATGTTAAAATGTCATTTCTTCTGTTTTGTTGTTCATTATCAGAAGTTTCTCCCCCCCCCCAGCCTTCGCTAGGTGGATTGAAAGATGAAACGGATCATGAAAACGACTATGTTACAATGACAATAGATAGCAGATATTTAACGAAAATTAAATCCTTAGGAGTTGATTCATTAGTTTTTAAAGCGCACGGTTTTGGACTAATTTTTATATTACTTGTTACAGGAGCAACATTACATCCAAATCTAAAAGTCGCAAAAATTAGTGTTATTCTTAATATTTAATTCAGTTTTTAATAAATATCCAAACTTCTTAAAACTTTATAATTTTTTTTAAGTTGACGATTTATAAAATATTCACGCACGTACCTAAAGGTATGTGTAAATATAGTGGGACAATCAACTGCAAATGACTATCTTTTAAGATTCCCGAATTACTGTAACCAAATAGCGATAATATTTCGGATTTATGTTATAGCTGTCTTGAAGTACATTTCATTCAAAATTTTCAGCTCTGGTACTTATAATATTAATTCATGGTAAAACACGTAAACAAAACATAAAACCCTCTGTTGATTTATAAGATTTATTATTTTTTTTTAATTTGAGTAAGCGAAACAATTACTTTCTATCTTTAAATGAACAATTCCTAATTTGAAAGTATTCAGAAAAGAAAATCTGTTAATTCCCCTTGAGAACATTAGTTGTATTGTCTTTGAAAGATAAGTATGCTGTAGTATAACGCGGCTTGTATGTCCCTCTGTTCTTCACGAAAACTTTTCAACTTCTGATCATCATGAAACTTTTTGGGAGTTCTTGAGGATGACCCTTGTCTCCAGGATACGTAGAAACAAAAGATAATATATTGAAAGTAGGTATACTTACTGATATGAAGAAGCTTGCCAGTTAGAGTGAATCTCTCGAAAATTTTATACTAGAATTCAATAGGTCTGCGTATCAAATGATGCGCATTTATGGTGTCTGAGTACCCCACAAAGCCAGTGAAAATCGTATCATTGATTTTGTTATTTTCTGAAACTAGTGGTAACTACTCCAGTAGCTCAGTGGTAAGTCTGAGAGCTTATAGCGTTAAAAATTGGGGTTCAATGCCAGCGATGTGCAGAGTACGGATAACCCATTGTATAGAGTTCTGTTTAACAAAAAAAAAGAACAAAAAAGAATAGAATTTGAAACATGCAGGATATCACCGGGATTATTTTAAAATATTTTGAATACGATGGTTATTTATTATTATTATTATTTGTGTTACTGTTAAGTTATCTTCGTAAATTAATGAAAGAGAAAACTTTTTTATTTAATAAGCAGTGAAAAAAATACTAGGAAAATGAAATTTTTTCATCTTTTTTTTACTTCCTAACTTCATCTCACAAAAGGGTTTCTATTCTTGTCTAAAAACAAATATAAAGTCATTTGCAGTCGAAATTGTCTCTACTTGAATGCTTTTTGAAACTAACTTTGCTCCAAAAGTGTGAAATAAGTACTCCTGAAATACACATTTATTTGGAAGACTTTTAAAGTGAAAAGCAAGGCTTAAAATATAATTTCAAAAAGATTCTAAAATTATTTTATCTGCTACAAAATCAAGTCCCATTATTCCGTTTATATGAAAAACAATAGAAAGTTATAAATACCATTTTATGATATATTTCATTATGGTTATATTATTATTGTTATTTCATCACAGTATATAAGCTTAAGGAAATAAAGCACGGAACTAGGTTCTGTAGGACTGAAGTTTTAATAAAACTAAAACTGTTTTTATAGTAATAATTCAGGCAGTGACAGTGCATCCTAGTATGAAATATCGCGTTCTTTTACGGCAGTGTTCCCCATTAGGCGACCCGCGGGCTACATCAGAAATTGAAAGCCTGATTCGTGATCCATACTGTGATCAGATATAGCAAAATAAGTAAAACTATTTGGGAAATGCAACAAGCTCAGGGCCGACCCTTAGCTTTATGGTCATCATCTCTAGTGGCTCAATGTAGAAAATAATTGAGGACCACTGCTTTACGGGGGTCGTAGAACCCCTCGTGATTCACAAAGGCCCTAATGTACCGATCAAGTTCCTCTATTACCCCTAGTTATTTCTACAGCTCTTGTTGAGAAAATGTTTACAGATAGGGGAGTATATCTCAAAGACACTGTTAATGGACTGCGTTTCGAGCTGCTAGCGCTGAAGATCTGCGAAACGTCGTCCAACTTCCTTCAGTCCTCTAAAGACGCCTTTCAAGCACTTCTATAGCCACCACAAGGTGGATCCAAACCTCAAAACAAACCTCATTAGGATACCCGCCTATGGTACTTGAGCAAGTATGCCACGTTTGGTCTCGTTGCCTTGGGAGAGGATGTATGAACACAGTTTCAGACGTGACACCCCCAGCATCTCGTGGAGACCACGAACACTAAACCTGATGTCACATTCAGGTTCAGAAACACTGAAAACCTATTCCTAGACCTTAATCGTGCCTGGATGACCTTCCGGACTCGTTTATCATTCTTGATAGGAGGGCTACATCGTATAGATAAGGGCACCCCAGGGCCACTCAGAGTCCACTGTCAAGTTTGAATCTGCTAGCTCCAAAACTGTGAGGGAAGTTCACGGACAAATAAATAAATAAATTCACACATCTAGTGAATTAATACAGGATAACAACATGTAATTGGATTAGATAACAAAATGCAGGGGGAAACTGACATCCTCGTATATCTATCTATCTACATGTCTATATATATAATTTGTATTATAACTCTTATAAGGTGTTAGAATTGCACAACAATTATAAGGCTTGGACTTTATAGGCAGTTCAGAAACAAATGTACGTTTCAATAGTTGGAATTATAGGAAATTATTAGCTCAAAGTACAAAGATAAAACATTCAGAATTAATCTTTTACATTGCAAGTGTTGAGTCAACCCTCACACAGACATATACAAAATCATAACCGGATTTCGGAAAACACTTTATCCACAACACTTCTTTGTTGACTACATTTCTACAGATTATATTTATATTTATAACACAACGCTAATAACGTAATCAAATCTGAATCACTTCAATCTTATTACAGCATACTTACAAATTTAGGATGAACATACAGGCCATTACTAGTTCAGAATTAAATAATAACATGCCGACATTGACAGATTATCATATAAAGTAACTACAGGTGAAATGAACCAGAGCTGTGCAGTCAAATGCTTTCGTTTCATTACGGTCAATAAACATTTTATAAATTTTTATGTGAATTAAGGGAAGCACGTGCAAAATATTTCTTATCAAACAGTCAATAACAAAATAAAATAAGGATAGAAAGAAAAATAGAGCAGAAGGTGAAAGGAAAGCAGTGAAACATTGGCCTACCATAGCGGCGGTGTTAGCTCTGCTTTGGGAAGCCTTTAGCTGTGCCTGCAAGTGAAGCGGCGGGTGAAAGTAGCGGCATGGATCCCGCGTACACCTTCCCTTTATGAAATCCATACAGACTGTCACCATGCCTTCGGTACCGTCCACAGCCACGTGCTCAGGAGGATGAGCGAAGCGGCACTCAGTTTCAGTCCGCTTACAGTTGCCGCGTTGATATTCTCGGCACACCTATATGCAAGGGAGAGGCAAAGCAGGTGAAACCGTATTAACAAGCTAGCGTATACAGCCATGATAGCAATGGGCGGTCAGAAGAACTAAAAGGAAAGGGCAGTGCAGGAATAAGAAATCCAGAAAAGCAGTAGATTAATGCGAACAAACAAAAATAATGAGTGACAAAATACAAAATTACACACCAGACGCCACGGAATACATTTTTAAATGCATGCCATATAAACAAACAGTCAATATTTCTCACATTTTAATGAACTAATAAACTCCAGTGCAATATATTGTAATGAGCGAGAAAATTCAATTCTGCTTTTAAAATCTGGCAATATTTTTGCATCGTTTAATTTTATCTAAATATCAAAAAATAATAGCTAAATAAAGGCATATCATATTTATTTGGTATACAAATATTTTACAAAATGTGTAAAATAAAGGTGTCGTAAAATAAATTTCTTCTGACAGTCACTTTTCACTGAAATGAAATTCAAGTTGTATTTTGCTACCTACCAGTACATTTTAATAGAGTTACATCTTGCGAGTGCACAGATGAGTATTCTAAAACATTTTATGGAAAGCTACTTTCAATATTTCCAAAACAATACACAACTTAAGAGCTTCAATGAATATTGACTGAAATGACCCTACACATATATTTTTATTTTACTACTGAATAAAAAGATACAAATAATTCTCAATTTTAAAAAAAGATTTAGGAAATACGCTAAATAGAAAGCAACAATATTAAAATTAGGAATTGGTGGTTTCTATAACTGATTTACATACTTTATCTAACACGTTAATAAACAATACAAATAATTTTTTAAGATAACTCACGGGTAAGTATGAGGGCTTATAACACTAACAATCCGGTTTCGATATCCGCTGTGGGCAGAACAGAGATAGACATCCTTAATTGTGAACTGATAAGGAAACCAGACAACAGCATGCACTACTAACTTTTGGGTCACTCCTATAACGCACTCACGTTCTCAAAATTCGGAGCGCGAACCATAGACCCTCTGATTCACAGCCTAACCACTAGCCCACGAGGAAATACTGCTGGAAACTGTTGATCTTGTACTCTAAATATTTTATCTATAGTACCTAAAAATATGTAGTAACATCTACCATAGAGCCAAACAATAAAGCACAGGCTGGTTCGCCCTTCAATGGTTCAGGGGCCAGCCTGAAAGCTTATAGCACTAAAAACCGGGTTTGGATACCTGTGGTGGACACAACACAGATAGCCCACTGTGTAATTTTGTGCTTAACAACAAACAAGAAAAAACAGTTTGTTTCTAGTAAAACAAATTTATATATTTATTCGTTGTCTTACCTATCTATCTGCAATTTGTCTAATGTTAGTTAATGCTACTGTATAAACACTGCCCTTTAACAAAACCTGACTACCTTCAGTGATAGTACTTTGTTATGAACACTACAAAATCAGATTTCCAAAATCTATGATGTATCACATGATTTGTTTATGCCTTACAGAATCTTTGAACAGATTCACATAGGATATTGTGTTATTGTTTTTACTGTAGAGTTTTAAATCAGCATCAGTACGGAAAGAAGTGGCCTGTTCTGATGGATGACAGTGTGTGTGGATTTGATTTCAGATTACACGGCCTACAGCCATTAATATTCTTGCAGGGTCAGTTTTAATATTATTAATTTCAAAGGATAAACATCAGTTACTTAATTGCAGCATAGTCTTGTTTGTTTACAGCCTTTAGCAACAAAGTCTTGCCTTTAAACAAGCCGGTAAGTTTTATTTCTAAAAGAATAAAAAATGAATGAACTGGAATTATATTACAGTGTCGTTCTGCTAAACTATAACAACGGAAAAGAAATGTCACATATTTATAATTTTAGTTCTCAAATTATTTTAAGACACAGATTATATTTTTAAAATAATATAAAATAATTTCCGCCAGATGGTACCACTGGGTTGTATAGGAAAGGTGTGTTTGTTTGTTGTTCAGCACAAAGCTACACAATGGTCTATCTGTGCTGTGCCCACCACCGGTATTGAAACTCAATGTTTTAGCACAATAAGCCTTCAGACTTGCCGCTGAGCCACTGGGGGCTGTGATAAAGACAATACCCCTGAAAATTATGCATCACAGGAAACCTAGTTCAGACAGTGTTAGATAAAATGAAAATACTATTAAAAGTAAATCCTCTATTATAGATTACGTATTATTTCCGTTTTATTTAAATTACAGTTTTGAAAATACCTGTATTTCAGTGTAGGAGTTTCATTTGTATCATAAACAGGTTAAATTAGAGTTTCTGTTTCTTAATTGTTTTATTCAATTAAATATACGCAATTCATGACACAGAACATTGACGTCATAAGTACGCAATTGCCTATAATGCCAATTTAGCGTCTTTGTTTTGCTGTTTTCTTTTTGTACCTTTCTTTCTTTTCAGTTCTATTTTAAAAATAAAGTCAACCTTCTTGAGATTTTGCGCCTAACTATGAGGTGATATTACCTGATGGACCCCTCACAAACACACCGTTTGTATGAATACCAAATTAATAATAATTTTATATTCAAATGAAAGTTTGCATACCAAAACAAGACTTGTCCAATACAAACGAGTACCTTTTTATAATGTTCAATGACGCCACTCACCTCTAACCTATCAGTGCGTGGCATTTTCTGGGGTGTGACCATGGGTGCGGGTATAATGCTCAGTGGTGCTGCTATGGCGTCGGCTGACATCATCCCCATAATAGGACTTGGATTCAAGTATGGACTGAAGGTGGAACCTGTGGCCATTGTGGGAAGGGTGGCCATATAAGAGTTCGTCGCAGCCTTATATTTCATAAAAATAGAAAAAACATGAAAAAATAATTAAATACGTTAAAAATGTTCGCTATTTATCATCATGTTTTCGATACTACAGATTGAGAGTTAAAGAGAAATCTAAAATTGAGAAAGGCGTTACTGCTTGAGGATGATAACTATAAGATATTAAATATATTTGTAAGATTATAAGGTAATAAAAAATTAATATTTTTTGACACGTAAACATATAACAAGATATTAGGCTTATCGTGCATTTGGGAATACAGCTGTGAAACATGCACTTCCATAGGATTATGAACTAGTATGGATATATACCGTATTTTTCGGTGTATAAGACGCACTTTTTTTTTCCCCCAAAATTTGATGTCAAAATCTGCTTGCGTCCT